AACAGTGCAGCTAAAGGAAGAGAAACATTTACGGGGTAAAGCTGGCAGAGATGTCATTTGTCAGATGGCTGCTAATTGTGCCATTTAAAAAAACAAATGTGACTGAATGACTTGTGTTTGCAAACAGGGCTTGACTCGTTTTGTCTTAGGAATGGTCAGAATCTCTTACACTGCAAAAACTGTCCATCTTACCAAGTTTTAACATCTTATATCCAGCCAAAAAGTCATTTTGATCTTTTTTGAGACTGATTTACTAAACAAGAACTGATTGTGTAAGAATAATCATCTTGTTTTCAGAATGTGTCAGATTATTTGTCTTGTTGGCCTGAAAATTTGACTCAAATTAAGTAAAAAAAATTCTGCCAATGGAGTAAGAAAATTTTACTTGGTAAGATTCTTGAAATAAGAAAAAATTCAGTCAAATCAAGTATTTCAAGAATCATGTATTTCAAGAAGAAAGAAGTAAAATTTTCTTACTCCATTGGCAGAATTTTTTTTTTTACTTAATTTGAGTCAAATTTTCAGGCCAACAAGACAAATAATCTGACACATTCTGAAAACAAGATGATTATTCTTACAAAATCAGTTCTTGTTTAGTAAATCAGTCTCAAAACAAGATCAAAAAGACTTTTTGGCTGATATAAGATTTTAAAACTTGGTTAGGTGCGCAGTTTTTGCAGTGTAGGATTTACTGCCAAGGTTAAAAATCCTTGGTCACCCCATCTGCCACTTTGACAGCAAAACTTTGGCAAACTATTTTATATGCAGAACTTTCATTTTAACTGCTCAAAAAGGTAATTCTCATGATGAGATTCTGCATGGTATTTGCCACTGCCTGTGCCTGTAGAGAGAATGACCAAAAGGATTAGATTCTCTTTCTTATAATCTTGGTGGATTTTTACAAATAATGAAAGAAAACGAGTCTCAGAAAATTTGAATCTTACATTTGCACCTTTTTGTATCTGTGGCAGTGTGGGCAGATGTCAAGACCTGATTAAGCATTGGCTCAAACCACTCCTGAACCTGAGACAATGTCAGAGGTGTCTTAACTGGGCTGAGGAGACAAAGTACTGGACTGTTGCTCAGTAGTCCAACATCTCCATAAAGCAGACAGGTTTCATTATTTATAAGTCATAATCATTAAAATTACAAGAAATAAAGGCTTGGGATATTTCATTCGGTCAAATATGAGTTTCTGAACTGACCAACAACAAAAAAATTACTCTCAATAATCACAATTTTTGGTGTGTTTTTCAAAGCGGGTAGCGGGGGTCTCAGAGAGCTAGAGGAAACGTAAGGAAAAAAAATTAACATTTTTTAAGCTCTGATACATTTATTAGATTTTTTTTTGTTCTTGTCAACAGTTTGTTAAAAAGTTGGTTTTTCCAATGGGGGTTGGGGGGTGGGGGGGTTAAAATTAAAATGGATGCAGTCTATTTTTTTCTTTTGGTTAGGGTTAGGCATGGCATGGAAAGGTTTGAGAACCCCTGTTCTAAAAAGGAGCCAACTTTCAGCCTGAAGTTTTAGTTTGGATGACAAAAATGGCTGCTAATAACCCTCTCCACTTGGGTTCTTTGCCTTCACTCTTAAAGGTTTTCCTAATTTGGATCTGGAAGTACCACAGGATCTTAGCTCGGTCATTCTCCACCACCTTTGGGGGTGTTCCCCACTTCGATCTCGGGGCTTCCAGTCCATATTCTGCACAGAT